AAATATTTGAGTTTTGATGATTTTTTTTTTTTTAGTACCGTCAAGGAATGTTCGTGTTCTTCAGGAAAGATTTTTCACGATCAGGTGACTTGAAAGGAGTTTCAAATGACAATTGCCGAGATGCAGGTGTTTTGGGTTGGTAAAGCTGAGCTTCCAAGAATATTGCCCATTCCAAAGGTGTCTTTATCCAAGTAATTTTCTGTTACTTTAATGTTGCTATCTAGTAATTTAGACCTTTTCTTTTCAATATCTTTCTGTTCTTGAAGCTTGGGATTTAAGGGAATTTTCTCTCCTAAAGCACGAGCAGCTTGTATATCCGTTGCCTTTGATTTACTTGATACAGTTTTCTTGGTGCGCAAACTGCGCTTCCCTTGTCCATCAGATTTCACATTCTCAACCTTCTCCTTACTTTTCGCATTGCTTTCTTTCATTTTTGAGAACTTTGATTGGAACTGCGCATCAGCTTTACCCAATGTAATCAAACATTCTAAAAGAACAAATGATCATTTAAAAAAATTTAACTATGAAAGTATAAGAAAGTGTAATAACCTTCAACAAATATTGCAAAACACCTATTATAGATTATGATGAAACAGTTTCTATAATGATTTTAACTATAAGAATGTTTTGGAATCAAAGCAGAAGGTGCAAAACATCACAACAATGTGGTTTGGATTCCAGACATTGGTGTTCAGTAAACCCAACAAATATCAGTAAAAATATGATACCGGATTGAGTAACGTTCTAAGATCATTTCAATTTCACACAGAAACATTTTACCTCGCAATTTACTAATAAGCTAATCACACAGTTCACATATTCAACTAGTGAGCCAAACACCAAGACTACAGAGGTTAGGAGGTTAGGTTCACTCTTCCGGAGTGAGTGAGAAACGAGTACGAACAGAACATAAATAGGCCTTTTCGCAAGGTTATGATGAGATGACTAGGAAACTAACTAGAAATTTTGAGTATTTGAGCAGGATAACGCCGATTTCCGACCAGAGTACTTGTCCAACATTACCCGGTGTTCTCTCCTCTTCGTTGACACAAGAAATGTCAACAATTGACGTTTGCTCGTCAACCATCCAGAACACAAGACACTTCATCTCTTTTTTCCTTGCTCATGTTGAACCAAACTTCCGACGAATCACTACGAAATCTAAAACCACAGTAGAAAGTACTAGCTATATGTACGCCAGACCACGTCTCGCGTAACAGGCTTCGCGATATCTCACGAAACACTGTTACGCTGCGACGCTGGCGCACATATAGCTAGGCCTGCGGTCGTCTTTGTCTTTCGTCTCTCCCTCTCTCTTTCTTCAAAAACATCCCCACGTCTGAGGTGAGCAATGCAGCTGACTTAAGAACGAATTGTCATTTGATCGGGAATGTCATCAAAATCAGGTCGGTGGAGGTTCAAAAAGAAGGCTGACGATGCTGTTTTGGTCAGTGGAAACAACAGTGATTCTTCGGATGATGAGACTAACCCCCTAAAAGGCCACGTCCACCAGGTAAACAACTTCTCTTCTGCTTTCAAACTTTTAGGCACCATTGGCAACGAAACAATTCATTTTATCTTGTTTCAGAGAAGAGTGATTCTCCAGGGGCCAGCGAAGAAAGCAAAGATGGAACCAGCGACCAGGAAAATTTACAAGGTTAGTGATGCAATAGCATTTCATGTAACAATCAGACCAACTTTCAAGCTAATATATTTTCTTTATCATTGTTGTTGATCAAGATTGTGATGGAGAACAAGCAGACTCTGATGCTAATTGTTCTGGTGGTGTAAGCTTTGAAGGACAACCCAACTGCGATGGACCCTGTTCAAGCCTGGCTTTTAAGGAACATAATAGCAGCGGTGAAGAACGAGGTCCCAATAATCATTGCGAGGACCATGACATGAATCAGCTAAATAGAGGTAAATAATTATACGGATATTTCTTATGAGCATTTGTTTCTTTATTTTCTGAACCTTACCAGGCCATACCAGGCATAACCCTCCCCCTTTCTCTTTTAGGAAACAATGTGACTATCATTAATAAGTTTTGCCTTCTTTTCAGATGTCGACATCCAGCCTGAACTTGGCCCTCAGGAAGATGAAGGCCTTGCGATTGATGAAGATATAGAGAGTGATGCTGCTTTGTCTGATGATGGAGATGATAGAGATGACAGTGGTGACAGTGATGATGGTGATGACGAAGATCAAGAAGAGGATGAGCATGAGGCCGAAGACATTCCACCCTTACAAAATCCCCAAGATGATCAACCTCTCTACAATGGAGCCCCTCTCACCCTCGCTGAAAGTATAACAGCCATCATGACATTTGTTCTCACCCATTCTTTAACTGGGAAATGTCTTATTGATCTCTTGACTCTCATCTCGCTTCACTGTCCTGTGAACAGCTTATGTGTGAAGTCGTTTTATAAGTTTAAAGACTTATTCAAAGGTGTGGGCGGGGAGATTTTAAAGTCCCATTATTTTTGTTCTGACTGCTATCGTCCACTAAGAACGAAAAACTCTGTTTGTAATCGATGTCCAGCAAACTCTGGAGTATTATATTTTATTGAAGTGCCTTTACTTCGTCAATTACAAATAATGTTTCGGAGGCCAGGTTTTGTTGGTAGCAGCACACTTCATCCAATCCAAATACCTCTAAGACCGATTGGAGGTAAAACGGAACAATGACTTCATTTACCTCCAAAAATCAATGCACCAAAAACACCACCAAGTATTGTACCTCCAAAATTTGGGGGTGATGAGGAGGTGGTCAGTAGACCAGAAAATCCCCTCCAAACACACAATGGAAAAGCCCTCCAATTTTAGATCAGCGCGCATGCCTCTAATGCTTTCCTCCAGATTTAGAGGTACTTTCAAAGCAGGCAAGGTGAAGAGGCGACAGACTCCAACATTCCCGTTTACCTCCAAAGTATTAACCTCCAAAGTTGAAAGCGATTCGTTAGT